TAGACAAATTGGGTGTTTTAGAGGGGGAAAAATGCTTGGAGGCAGGCACCAGGGCATTGTAGATCATTAGTTTTCTGAAGTCTATAAGCAGCTGATGACAGAGGCAAAATGTGTCAGCCTGGCTTGCACAAAGCAACTATTCTGCTTGTTTAGAGCTGTGCATGTCACTGTGAGTTCTCAGTTCTATATAAAGGGCATTTGTTTCTCTGGATGTTTATTTAGCATAGTATCTTTCCAGTTGACACTGGATGTGAAATGAGCTTCTTAGCTATATTAAAAAGTATCTTCCATATTAATTGGTTGTTGTGATTATCAATAAAAGCAAGGCTGTTTATTCTGATTTTATGACTTAATAATTTGGAAAATAGATGTTGCAATAATGAAAGCTTATGTATTTTAATTGGTAATATATATTGCTTTTGTATTTCCTGTTTTCTTCTGTTTAGGTTAAAAACTTTGCTGTTATTTATCTTGTGGATATCACTGAAGTACCAGACTTCAACAAGATGTATGAGTTGTATGATCCCTGTACTGTCATGTTTTTCTTCAGGTATGTGATGGTTCTGGAATATAACTCATTTAAACTTTCTGTTTGTCAAATACAGTGTCTCAGCAGATAATTTCTGAATGCATAATAGCACACTGATGTCTATATTTACATTGCTCTACAGAAGAGTAAACTGATTTTATATGAAAATGGCTTGTTTTCCAATTAGCCTGGTAACAGTGTTTGATAATAGAATACAAATTAGTGATAGTGAAAACTGGGTTTATTATCAATTTTTCTTAGTTTTAAATCTCAAACTTCCTGTTGAGAATACTGTAGTAACATATCAGTCAAACTTGTCAAACTTGTTTTCAAGATAAATCAAAAGTAATAAGGTTTTTTTGGAGTTAAGTTTTCTACATTGATGAGATAAAAAGTTCTACTGACAAGCGTGGAAGTCTTTCTGGAGATAGACAGTTGTGGAAAAGAAATACAAACAGTAAGGAATATGCTGAAGGATAATTGCACTTGAGTAACCATTTTGGGGGCATGTTTGGAGTCCTTATTCTTGCTTTAAAAATTGGCAGTAAAATGTCAGTTTAAGTGAGAGGAGTAATGCTTGTTTTGCAAGCCTCTTTATGTTATAAGGGCTTCCTTTGATCCTACAAAGCATTTGGGATGGGGTATAAGATTTCTTTCTGAATTATAATACCATATTAACCTGGTTTTTTGTTCTCCCTCTTTAAAGGAACAAACACATCATGATTGATTTAGGTACAGGTAATAACAACAAGATCAACTGGGCAATGGAAGATAAGCAGGAGATGATTGACATTATAGAAACTGTTTATAGAGGAGCCCGCAAAGGTCGAGGTTTGGTGGTATCACCGAAAGATTATTCCACGAAATACAGATATTGATGTTTCTTTGGGCTGCCTTTTTTCATAATCCTATGTCCAGTTAAATTTATTTCTGTGTATGTGTGTACATATATGTATATTAAAGGAAAAAACAACCTACAAGTCCTAGAATATTGAGCATAATTTGAATTATTTAAAAGATTTGAATTCTGTTTGAGAAGCAGAAAACTTAAAGCTGGAACTGTCTTGAATATTACTGCAGTAATACAGTAGCTGAATTGTGGGGTTTTCTTTTTTAAAGACTCTCCTTTGTTGTCCTTTTGGTATTACATATTTTTGTACACAAAAAGCCTGTTTGCAGAAAAGCATTTTAAATTGTTTCATTTGCTTTTATTACACAAATATCTGGGAAAACTTACAGTTTTTTTAAAGAATAAAATGAGTTCCACTTATTTCACCTTAATTTTTTTCAGCTAAGGAAATTTGACCATGAGTACAAATGGGTGCATTGGGTGCAAGTCCGTAATGTTGAAGATGACTTCTGTTGGGATTTCCTTGCATATCATATTAGTCCCCTATATCCACTAAAAATGTGAATAAAACAAAGTGCATTTATTAGTATTTAGCAAAACTCAGAGAAAACATCTCCTGTGACTTTGCTCACCACCACACCCTCGTCAGCCTAATGGACTTGTGGTGCCAGACTCCTTTTCCATGGTGGCTGGGCACTCACTTTGAAGCGCTTGGTGAATTGTGTGGTGCCAAAGCATAATTGCACTTCTGGAGCTGGCTGCAGACAGCAGCTGAGGAAACCAAAAGCTGTGCTGTCACTTGACCTCCAGTTTGCCTAATAGTATACCAAAATGCACATGTACTTGGGAGACTTGGATTGGATTCCACTGTGGCATAGCTTTTGAAATTTCCATTTGCATTTCTGACAACTTTTATGGTAATGGAGTTGATATTGTGTGGGGGCTTGTTTATTTTTTTAAACTGATACATGCACATTTACAGGATTAATTAAAACCAAACCAGGCTAGCTCCTTTCTCCAGAAAGAAGAAGTCCCATTTGTTACAAGACAAAGAATTTACTTCTACTGCTACCAAGTGTGTTGTAGAGGATTTAGAAAGTGTGAAGAAAGTAAAGCAAAAGGGTCTCAATTTCTGCTGAAGTTAATCTGGTTTAGAGTGGTTATTAATTTTGGAATAATTTATGTTGGAAGGGAATGTCAGCCTCCCAGTCATAGTAGGTTCCACATGGTCAGGTTGCCCAGGATCGTATCCAGTGATGAGTATCTTGATTGGACTAGATGATCTTCAAAATGTTTTCTCACCCTGATGATTCCATGTTCTCTAAGGATGGAGATTCTTCAGCCTTTCTGGAAAGCCTGTTCTGCTGTTTGAGCACCTTCATAGTTGAAAAAGGTGTTCCTTGCATCTAGCTGGAATTTTCCACGTGTTTCAGCTTGTGTTGAGTAACCCTGGTGTGCAACACCTTCAACAAGAGTCTGTTCCCCGTGCTCTGCCATGGGGTGGTTGGCAGCAAGAAGCCATGGTCCTTTCTTTAGGCTGGACTAAGAGATTTCTCTCAAACCTTGTATCTGCTGTACTCCACTCTATCTTGGTGGTTGTGTTTTACCTCCCTCACACCACTGCATATCTTGAACTGGGCAGCCCCCAAACTGACAGAATATTGTGGGCCTGGTCTCCCAGTGAGATGAATGGAGGGGGAATGACTTGTTGGCCCTACTTTGTGCTAATACTGACCAGTGGGTTGCTGCAGCTCTTGTTGCCTGTGCACCCTGCTCACTCAATCAACCTTTCCTCCAGACCCCTTTCCTGCAAAGCAGTGCCAGCCATGCTCTCACACCTGCCCAGCTTGGCATTTTGAACTTCAGCAGGGTCCTGTTGGCCCACTTCTCCAGCTTGTCCTCCAGCATACCAATCTCTCCCCCCAGTCTGACAGTACGTGCAAGTCTACACTGATTAAAGCATTAATTGGAATGATTTCTTGATATTAATGAAGGCTGTAATAGAAGCATTTCTCCCTCATTAGCTGAGGTATTTTGTTAACCTGGCAATGCTTCAGCTTCCATTTTTATGGTAAAAGGATCCCATCACATTTCAAACTAAATCTTCCCTGCAGAGTACCAATGTTCTGGTGTACAACCACCTTAAATTTAGTGCAGATGTCCTGTTTTCTGACTACCAGTTTCTTCTGGACATGCCTGGTAAGTAGAATTAATCTATTTCCAGGTATACCAATGTTCTGGTGTACAACCACCTTAAATTTAGTGCAGATGTCCTGTTTTCTGACTACCAGTTTCTTCTTCTGGACATACCTGGTAAATGGAATTCATCTATTTCCAAGTCTTTAAATAAAATAAACTGTTTTCATCAAAACAGCTAACATTAAAGAATTGAAATCGTCACAATATAAATACCTGGTGTGATGTTACCTGCACTGGTGTACACAGCTTTGGGCTTGTGCAAAGAGTAACCAAGCAATTGTAGCCTACAAATACTGCTATTTTTTCAGTACAGAATGGTTTATTCTAAGAACATATAAGCTATAAAGGCAACAAATCTTACTATTTTAATACTAAAATACATTTTCATTCATTGAAAACATTTGGATTGGATAAGTTCACTATATAGAATATCGTTTTCTATCCAAAACAGTGGCTTTGCCGTCTCTGACAAATCTTACTATTTTAATACTAAAATACATTTTCATTCATTGAAAACATTTGTGATTGGATAAATTCACTATATAGAATATAGTTTTCTATCCAAAACAGTGGCTTTGCTGTCTCTGAAACTAACAGTTCTTTTTCAGCTCCAGGAAATACAGTGCCCCACTTATATGAACAAACCCAGCTTTCTATTTTTTTCCCGGAGCAATAGTTTAAAATTTTTTTAAGGTTATGACATGATACAAACACATTTGTTTTCCCTTAACTTTTTTTTTCAGTGTGATACTAGACTGGAAAATATCGGCCGTCTCTGAAACAGTTCTTTTTCAGCTCCAGGAAATACAGTGCCCCACTTAGATGAACAAACCCAGCTTTCTATTTTTTTTCCTGGGGCAATAGTTTAATTTTTTTTTAAGGTTATGACATGATAGAAACACATTTGTTTTCCCTTGACTTTTTTTTTTCTCAGTGTGATACTAGACTGGAAAATATCAGAGTCAGTGCTATGCTGTTCTGCCCTTAATCTTCCTCAAACACATCGTCATTTCAGTGCTGCAAAGATACAGTGAATTAGTAGGTTAGTGATTTATTCATGAATGTGATTCAGCATGGAGATAGGAAGCTCTGTGGACAGTTAAATACATCTTTGTGGATTGTCCTTCTGCATTTCTGAAAATTATTGTGTACCTTGTGCAAAAGGCATCAGAGTGGATACCTAAATTACTTCAGAATATTTACAGACATCCCTGTCTTTCACCGCATAAGAAGTTCCAATGACAAGAATAATTGATGTGTCTCAATTTGAATCAGGAAAGTGTGCAACAGGAAGACAACATCTCTTGCATCCACAGAACACGGAAGCAGTGCTGCCTTATAAATAATAAGAACACAGAGTCAGCCATCCATCAGGGAGGGGGCTGGCATTTGCAAGAGACAGATAAAAAATCCAGAACACAATCCTGAAATGTATGATTTTATATGATGAAGTGATTGACTGTAGTTTACTGCTGTGTTTGTGCAGAGTGCGTGTGAGAGGTGCGCAGCAAGCCACATTGGGAAGCTGTAGCAGGTTTAAAAGCAGAGGTACATAAATTTACACCAGCGAGCATCCTCAGCTAGGTTAGCATACCTGAGGGGCAGGAACACTTCAAACCACACACATTTCAGTATGAATGGACAGCCTCGGTTTACACACTGGGGTGAGTTAGCACTGTCCCCTTGTATATTGCACTCAGCTGGAATAGAGGCAGCAAGATGCAGTTTTTCTTTTGTAAAAGTGGTCATGTTCTTTGTCTCTTGGCAAAAAAAAATTTCCAAGGTATATTAAATATGTTTTAAAAAAGTACACTTCCAAATCCAAGAAAATGCAGGTATATTAAATATGTAAACACCATTACTTGCCCACCACTCAAAACTAAGTGGAAATGTGTAAAACACAGAAAAACTTAAGTAAGTGTCTTTACTCCCAATTCTTCATCGCTGTTTTCTACCCCAGCCTCTGTCATCAGGTCAGCAACACGTGTCTCAAGGTCACTGATGCGCTCGCCCATTTCTTCCAGTAAAAAGTTAAAGATAACTTATAAATAAGGGTTCTACATTTTTACAGTTTTTTTCTTCTTTCTTCCAGATGTGCCAGTCTTTTACTTGTTCACATTTAATGTAAGATGAAGCGTGCACAAGGTGGACAAGGTGTGCACAAGGTGTGTTAGAATACAATCCCTCCTTCTCTTACAACCGATAAGCATTCAAATTCTTAGTATCAAAAGCCTTTGCAAATACTCATGAGTGAACTGTGTGAGAGATTGTTTTCTTTCTGAGGAACTCTTTAAAGGTGGTCATACAGGTAACCTACAGAATTAGAATATGAATGCTACTCAAACATAATTCAGGAAGTAGCTGCTTCCTGAAAGGTTAAATTTCTGAAAAAAATTAATAAATGCTTCAGAAAGCAGAGGTAATTTCTGTAAGCACATGAAACAAGAAAGCTCAGAGCCCCTTCAGGTCTGATTTTGTTCTTTTGAGGGCTTGCCTTGTCATGATCAGGCCAACAGCTGCTTTTAAACTGTGGCTTGTTTGAGTTGCATTTTTGGAGATGAATGCTTTTTTAAATGCACCTTCAGAATCTTTACACATAATTCGATGCTTATTTTATTTGAAAGCCAGAATTGCTGACTACCTTGATACTTGCAGTGAAACATTTTTTAGGATTTCCTTCTTAGAAAATGTCATCTATAAACAGGCTGGGGAGGGGTGGGGTAAGTCAGGTGCCTTTACGTCATAGGTATTGACCCACATCACGCATTCTACGCTAATTTGATGTTTAGTGAAGAAGCCCACCCCGCTGTTAGAAGCAAAGGCCCCGCCCGCACCCACCAGCGCGCAGGGGCCCCAGCCGCGGGATCCCACGTTCCAAAGAGGATATTTCTCAGCGTCAACTTCTCCGTCAGAGCCTCAAAATTCTCCTGCAGCCGGCAGAGCAGATTTTCCGCCTGCGGGGGAAGGGGAAAAATAAAGAGAGGGGAAGCAGAAGGCAGGGGCCCCGGCCGTGCAGGAGCCCCGCAGCCAGGGCACCCCGCCCGGTCCCGCTCACCAGCTGCGGCAGCTCCCCGGCTCCCGGCGGCTCGGCGGCCGCCATCGGCTCCGGCTCCGGCCCCGGCTCCGCGGCGGGCCCCGGCTCCGGCTCCGCGGCGGGGCGGGCACAGAGCGCACGGGCACAGAGCGCACGGCCCCGCCCGCCGCGGAGCCCGTACCCACCCGCTCTCCATTTGCTGGAGAAAGCGTCATTCCGCGCGGCAGTAACTAAACAAGGATGCCGAGGTTTGATCTTAAGAGGTCTTTCAATTTTATTATTTTAAAGGTCTGCTTCCTTTTCTCCCGTGCAATTAGTTTTGTGAGATGGAGTGGTAAAAATACCGTGGTGGTTGAAGTTCCTTGCACTGCAATGCCTAGCGAGACAACATCAAAGGCATCAGCAAGAGTCGCGTGGTTCCTCTTGCAGGACCAGCATCTAGGTCATCCCTGGCTTTTGGGCTGCATAGCGTCAAAAAGATCCCAGTGCATCTATTACAGAGGTGTCTTTCTTCTGCATACTGGGACTGTTGCCTGATGTAAATGAAGAGGTTTTCAGTTTACTGTGTCTGCATGGTTAGGAGCATATCACTGTTGGGCAATGAATTACCTTAGTCAATTACTTAGAGTAATTACATATGCTAGATATGCCAAATATGTGTCTTCATCCACAAAAAAATTCTGAGCTGGGAATTACTTCAGTTGCTGTAAGCCTACCACTTAGAATCTTTCGTAATAAACTTAATTGTTTTCCTTCTTGACCTTCCCCACCTCATTTGAGAGGGTGTGTTAATGGCTGAGGTGAAATTCTGGCATCAAAGCAAACCTCTGCATTGCTACCTGCTTCCCGTAATTGTAGCTTCTCTGTACAGCCTTATTTTTTCCCTCTGTTGCAGGTAGTCCTCGTTGTAGAAAGAAAAATCAATCATGTTTTGCAAAGCTTTAGTGTTCTAGCAGCATTACTGCTCTAGAAAGCTTCTAGATAAAGAATTTCAACAATATTATGCATGTAGATAGGGTTTGCTTTTGTATGTGGCCACTAGCTCCAACCATACAGCCTTTTTGTTCTGTTGCATATCTAAAAAAGAACAATTGGTGCTTATTATCTGTTTATTTGTCGATCATAAATATTCTTTCCTTTAAGGCTAGGTAGTAGTAGAAGGTAGAGCTGTGGTATTTTTGCATTTTTAATTCTGATAACAGCCATAGTCTTCCTGGTTTTCCCTCTTTGCAGAAGAGCTACAAAAGCTTCTCTCTCATGCAGCAATATTTTCCCCCAGAGGTAGTCAAAGTGGCTCTGTCTGCTTGTGCCCAGTTATCTTGAACAAAGCCCTAGAGTCCTATTCGTAGTGAAGAGCATGCAAGGATAAAGAACCAGCTGGAAATGCAGTGGAGCAAGCATTATAAAGCCAACCAATTCGCAGGAATCCCACTACATCTTTGTAGTGCCACGTTTTAGCAATGACCAGGTTAGAGTTCAACTGAAAACAAGCATGACTTGATAAAGGTTTTCTATAATTTGCTCCTCATTTTTGTGAGGTAGGTCAGTGTGGTCAAAACAGAAAAAAAATACAGTATCCAGCTGGCAGAGTAATGAAGGACAGGCTATGAAAACTGTGAAAGAGACTGAAAAATACCATGCATTTCCCCCTTCAAAGGTCTCCTTTTACTTTGTGGGCTCAGCATCTGATGTGAATGGCCCTCTTAGTTCAGATCTGGAGCTGAATTAGGCCAATAGTGCACAGCTGGATTTATGAAATGAAAACAGAAGTGTCTTTAAAGCTAAAAGTAGCCATGGAAAACTTCAGAAAGCCTACGAATAGAAGAGACAAATGACAAGATCACACAGACTTTGCTTAACAATGGATTTACTTATGATAAAACTAGCATGCTTGGTTTTGCTCTGCTGTCCTCTAGTCTCTCCCTTCTCAGAGGGCTTAGAAGTTCAGAATTGAGCTGTTGCATACATTTCCAGGGCCTGAAATCTGGGGATGTAGGATGAGCCATAGTTTAAAAGCATAGTCCATGTTGGGCATGGACTAGCACCCATGGGCTAAGGGAAGCTGAGCAAAAACCCTTTGGTTTTGTTTTGTTTCAAAAGCAGAGGGCTAGCTGAGAACCAGTAAACCACCAGTGCTCATAAGAGTATTTACTGCAATAAGAATGCTTAATTGACTAAAAGGATAGCAAAAAGTTCATTTTGGCAATGAGTAAAAAAACAGGTCCTGAGGAGGTTTGAAAAAGGAGCAAAAGAGAAGATTTGACAACAAATTCTTTTTCCATTCCAAAATATGCTCTATGCTACTTTCTTGCAGTAAAAAGCTTAGACTTTATTCACTTTGTCTAAATATGTCTTTTTGATATGAAGAACATGAAGTAAAAATAAAATTAGGGTGACCTCGAGGCTGGGGTGCCATCTGCTTCCATCCTATTTCAGTATTGCAGACCTGTGCTATGAACTCTTCACAGTGTGCACTGAAATGGTATTCAAAGCATGTTTCCCTTGCTCTTTCCTAGGGAAATTCCAGTTCCTCCACTGCTGGAAGCAGAAGTCATAGTAGCAGGATAGGACATAAAAGCATGTTGAAACATTTATAAAGCCTAAGCTCCAAGTTCACTGCCATGCTGTAAAAGGCTGGGGTGTGGTGAGACAGAACTGATGTAGAAATGCATTACCCTTGCTGTCTGCATGTTACATAGAGCCTCTTTCCCTCCTCTTTGCTGACAAACACGATTTTATATACCAGGGGTCAGGAATCCTCTGGTCACACGCTCCAAGCATGTCTGGCTCAGGGTTGCTTTGGAATGGAGGTGAGGCCATAGAGAGGACATCTCAAAGAGAAGCTGAATATTACATGTGTGATAAAAGAGAAAAGAGGAATTTAGTCCTGGAAGGAGACAAGGAGGCAAATGCTCCTGGATCAACGTGGCAGCTTCTTTGGCTGCAGATCAGAAGGCAGGATGCAAATGGTACTGCAAATTTTGTGGGTTTGCTTTTTTTCTTCCTGGCATTGGTATGGTCAATACTAAAGTTTTCTCTGAAGAGAAAAGGGTTAGATACAAGTTAGTGCTTGCAGCACAATCGTGGTACTTTTGCTAACAAATTGTTGGGCTGGGTCTTTGAGTCATGCTGTGCTTGGTCCTTCCCTTTCAGGTAGCTTCTCTTGTGTCACTTTGCAGTAGTGATTCAGAGCGACACAGTGTGCAGAAAAAAACATCTGGCTTTGCTAGGTCATCAGCTTTTATATGCAGCAATCCCAAATGGTGATGATGGTTCTGGTAGCAAACTCTGACATTTACCCAATCTTTTTGATTCAGCATAATGCAGCACACTGAAAGCTTGCTCCACTGGAGTACTTCCTGGTGAAGGCATCGCTTTTCTTTCATATGGTAACATCAGTAGACCAACAAGTTGTTATTTAAAAGCATGGAAAGACGTGGTGAGTGGAATGCACATGCCTCAGGCAGGGGAAAAAAGCATGTGGGTCATTGGTGTCTGACAGCTGTTGTTCCTTTGAAAGACAAAGTCGTTTGAGGTGAATATTAAAAGCCTGGGTGTTTGCTCATGGTTCAAATTTCAGCTTCTGTATCTTTGAAAAGGGTAATTCCAGCCGTTGGAAACCTGATCCCTGATGGAGGTGCTCTACCTTTAATAAAAGTATTCTGTTTTGGCACTGCTGCTCACAAATCCCCTTATTGTGAAATATGTCAGCCAGCCCCTTTCTGCAAGTATCTACAGAAAGAAAACTGAACGGGTTAAGGATAATCTTGATCAGATATTCAGTGCATGCTCTGGGCATCATGTACTGCTAAGCAGCTGTAACAGAACACAGGGTATAATTTTTCTTGTAAGCATATTGCGCTGGGATAAATGCAGGAGCAGCAGAAAGGTGACTTTGGAGGCTGGTCTAGTGGGTGGTGGCATCCTTTGGCTCTGTGAAGAGCGTTGTGTAATTCACAGCTCTGTGAAATCACCCGCCCAGCTGCTGTTGACTGAGTTATTATGTGTTGATCCAGAAATCTCCAGCTATGTTTCCCAGACATGGCTGGTAAGAGATGTTGCTTCTCATGCTTTTTCCTGTTCCAGCCTTGTTCCATTGTCTTTGGATAGCGAGGGTGAAGGAGTATTCACCACTCAGCTCACCTGAAAGGCTGCAGGAGGGAGCTGGAGGTGTTTGTCCCTGGTGGGAGAGGGAGCAGGGCCTGTTTCTCTGGCCTGGTGGCATGCTGCTGGCATGCCTGGCACTGCATCTGGGTGCTGTGTTCAAACCACTCCGTGGCCTTGCTCCTCACACGGGCACAGAGGAGCTTTCTGGAAGCAAACACAGTGTGTGACAGGTGAGGCTCTGCTGTGATGGCAGGATGGGCAGCCCCTGTGGCACAAGGACAGGCAGCTGACCTCACATGTTCAGATGCCACAGCCTGCTGTGGCTCTTCCAGAGACGTCGTGGTCCAGAGCAGAACGTGCATTTTGTGCACAGATATTAAACATGGCATGTGCTGTGATGCGTGATGGAAAGAGTATTTTTCTAAAATGTTTGACAAAGAGAGCCTGTGCTGAAGAGGCTGGAAGCTGGGCAAAGGAGGGAGTGGTTCATTGGAAAATATCCATTTTGCATTTCCAGAAGGTGTAAAGAACTGTGGGTAAAATTTCCTGTGACCAAACTGCAGTTATGCTAATGTTTCTTTCCAGCTTCAGACACAATTTTTCCCAGAGGAGGCAACTGGAGTGTCTCCCTGGTACAGACAGTTTAAATTCACCTTGAATTAATGGAAAGCACTTAGGATGGTTGCATAAGATGTGAGTTGATTTGGGCAAAAATGGGCAATAACACTGGAGAACATCATTGGGTGTATGACACATGCTCTAACAGCAAGATGTGGGTCAGTGAGCAATAACAGTAATAAAAACAGACAAGAGTGTGGTAATCTTTGGGGTGTTTTTTGGGTTTTTTTTTTTGAGAAAAACCTTGCCCTTCCTCATCTGAACAAAGATCTTTTACAAATATGCTCTTAAGACTGAAACCTTGACTGGCAGTGGCATGCCTGCTTCTTCTGTGAGACATTTGTGGAAGAGGAGAGGAGCTAAGAGTTATGACAGGTATT